TTTTTTTTTTTTTTTCGTTTATTCTTGTGTTTATTCTACGATGCTTTTTGAAAAATTATGCTCGAATGCTTGTTGATTTTTGTAAAATTGGAGTACGAGAATGATGGCGGATTATGTTTGACGAATAACGGTTTTAGTTGGTTTTTCGGAAAATGTTATATTTATAAAATATAGTCATTCACATTTTGCACGGAAAATGATGTTGCGATGTTTTTTTTCTGAAAGAAGAATTGTATTACATTTTTTTAATATCGTATTAATATTACACGCGGATCATAGCAGATGAGTTTCATAATATATCTTTTCCGTGCTTTATCTTCATTCATAACGGAGAGAAGCACGTGTAAATAAATTCTTATTATGATTTATTAAAGAGGAAACGCAACGCGCCAGAATTTTTAATTATTGTAATAAATTTTGATTTTAATGAAAATTGATATTGAAATATCCTACGTGACGTTAATAATATTTTGCGCTTTTTCGTAATATATTTTAATTTTTCGCATTGTTCCAACTTGCTCGTGCAAAATTCCAATGATATTTAAAAGATTAAATTCGTATCCTGTTCGAAGACGAGTTCGACTACGATGAATCTACGAGACGTTAGAAATTTGCGAGATTATTGAAGATAAAAGATTTATGAGAGAATAATATTTTTACGTTATTTCTTCGTCGCGTTATCTACGCGCATCGATGGGCTGTTATCTTACTGAAATTAAACGCGAATTAATCTCGACAAATGTTTATTTTCCACGAATAGGAAAGGGACAAAGAAAGAGAAGAAAGGGAGGAAGGTGAAAAGGGAAGGTTGAAGAATCCTTCTTCACCTTTTCGAGGTAACGAAGATACTCGTAACGAAATGTTGGCGCGCTATAAAGAAATTACATAGATAAAGTAGAAGAGCTTTTAACCTATTCCTTTTTTTGTAACGAAAGAACTACACTTTTATACTTATCCTTCTCAACAATGAAACAACGATAAACCATTCTTCGATTAATTAAACACTTTTATCCGCAAAGCTACTCGACGAATCTCGTGAATCTCGAGCGCAATAAAGGACACACTTTTCACAAAGAAATTCCAATCTCCCTCGCCCCCATCTTTCGTATCCGATTCGATCCGATCTGAAAACTCGCCGATTTATTCAACTTTTGTTCAATCAACGAAATAATATTTTTCGAAATAATTTGCGCGCCGATTCGAAGTTCGATGAGCATCAAATGATAGAATGGAAATGGAAAGTGCGGGAATCAACTTAATTGGATAGGTAAATTCGTCGGGCAAAGGGAATCGAGACGAGGTAAATTTTCTGCTAAGATACGTGGAGGCAAATTAACCGATATTCGTGTATTCGTTCCCGCGTTTCACGAATTCGTGTTAACAATCCGCCTCTTAAGCGGATATTTCGGATATATATCGTTTTCTCAGCCGCGTGAATTTCACCTTCGAATGAAAATCCGCACGCTTGTGTTCACTCGAGAAACGATAATATTAAACTGTTGACTGGGCAATGAAAACAATAAATAAAAATGTACGGGTTTAACTGAATATATTTAATTATACTCGATTGCTCGTATCTGTTTTCAAAACATTTGAAGTATCGAAGAAAAACAAATAGATACCAACTATGAAATAGCGATGTAACATTTAATAATAAAACCACGTATAAATAAATTTCTGTGAACTTTAAATTCTATAACAATTACCTGTATAGTATAATATACTATTTACGCCTTAGACGGATTTGATATTAATTCTCACGTGGAACAGAGTTGTTGTTTCTTTAATTCCACCTCGTTGTTTAACGGCGACGATTTAAATTGCTTGGGAGAGAGTTAGTTTGTGGCGTGCGGGGTTGGATCGGTAGTAAGCTCGGAGTAAAGAGTTTTAATGAGGCGCGTTGAAATTGTTAATAATGTTTGTGGGGAAAAGTTTCTGTGGGGAAAATGGAATGATTTATTAACCAACTTTATTATTATTTTAACGAGAGAATTCGCTATCTGCGCGTGGCGATCGTTCATTTGCGAAAACCGTTCTCAACGCAGGGTATATATTTTCAATTTTCTTGTATGAAATCGGCAAAAATCGTAACGAAATTTATAAATAAACGCTCGTTCAAAGATCATTTTATCGCGTTCTTTAGCTTTTCGTTGATCGTAAAATCGAGAAGAAAACAAAAAAATAGTTCGACTTATCGCAATATCCGCAATTCCACGATAAATCGGTACCGATCGCTGCTTTCGTGATGAACTTTTGTCTTCGTTTAATTCATTTTATCTGGAAGATCGATATGCCCGTTCCTCAAATCACACCGACTCGGAAGCCAATAAATTATCGAGCATGAATTTTCCATTAAATCATCTGCATAAATTAACCGTGAAATACGAAAGATCTTGAAACAAGATTCGAAAACTCCGTTGCGATCTTGTATCCGAATGAATGAAAATCGAACCGGGAGGAAAAGAGGGAAATTTCAATTTCGTGTATACACGTTCGATGATCTCTGAAAAATATTGGAATAATGATGAGTTGCTGCTGCATACGATGTACGATTGAATACGAATACGAATATCCCTCTCTCTTCTCAGTGAGAGGAAGCATAAAATTTCGAAAAAAAACTCCACTCGAGTATTACTCGTTTTCGTTCGATTTTCATTGGTTGAGATAAAAAAAAAAAAAAATTTTGCTCGTCGATTTCTTACATACGCACGCATTCCTCTTCCCTCTTCCCATTGATGAGACCGAAGGTAAAACGGATAGAAACGGAAATGAATTTTCCGTTTATATATATATACGTATATAAGGTAGGAGAATAGAAGGGCTGAACCTTCTCTGGAGAGGGATCGCATCGCAACCTATATTCGGGGACTTTTATATCGCGGTGGGACGCGAGAAGGGAAGGGAGATCCACGAACGTGACGTTTCTCTCTTTTGTCTGTTCCAGTGACGAAATTCATCCGTATTGGAATAGCTGACAAGAACGACAATCCGCCTTATTTCGACAAAGGCCTCTACGAGGCTGAAGTAGACGAAAATGAGGATATCCAGCACACGGTACTCACTGTCACCGCCAAAGATCACGACGAGTGTAAGTGGACACATATGCAAATACGTTTTTTTCCTTTTTTTGCTTTCACTGAATCTTCCCTGAATCGTGTGATACGAGCAGGAGGATAATAACGCGTGTAACCTTCTCTCGTGAAAACGTTGGAATTAAATTTCTTGATTTCTTTTCTTTTTTTTTAATTATAAATAAAATTGTCACGAATGGAGAGAAATAATTTTCACTCGATCGAAAGGTTAATAACTTTGTCCGTAGATTTAAGTTGCCGTATCCTTTCTCCGTTTCTAATAACGAATCTATTACTCGATTTCAAAGTTCTATAACCTGGGTAACGAAGTTTCGCTAAAATCCATTCGCCTTTCCTCGACTCGGCATCGAGGATGCGACATAAATTGTTCACGAAACTTTAAATACCGGATGGCTCGAGCAGAGTCACGAAATATATTTATCCGATGGACCTCGATTAACAAGATCCAGCTCGCTCCCCGCTGCTTGATTACAGGCTTTTTCTTTTCTTCTCTTCTCTTTTCTTTTTTAAATAAAAAAAAAAAAAAAAAAAAAAAAAAAAGAAACTAATTTCTTCGTTACCTACTCACGGGGATCGAGCGATGATCCCCGGGGAAATTTAAAGAAATCGATCGATTTAACGAACCTTACTGTCCAAACATAATCCAAAATCGAGAATAAATCGATCGCGCAATGGCACATGAAATTTCACAGCGGATCTTTTTTTGAATATTTCCACCCATAGATATACTCTCTGAGATCGCAATTTTTCCAAAGCCTCGAGACCTTGTTCCGAATAATCCCCAAGACTTTGCCCCGAATAATCGCGGGGGTCCTCTCGTCTCCCTACGTGCTCAAACTTGTTGTTTGGAACTTAATAATGGAGCACTTTTCGAAATTTAAATCAGTTGTTGTTTCGTACTTATTTCGCATTTCGTTCGCTAAGTACATTCTCTCTCTCTCTCTCTTAAGAGTCTTTTTCTTAAACTAAGTCGTTAAGCAGAAACGCTTTAAAGACGTTTCGCCGTGGCGTGCTCGACGCCATACACACACGGTAAGAAGGAGAGGAGAAAAGAGCAATTCATCCGTGAAACTCCATTGTGAAATTGATGTTTTTCTGCATTTTACAGCCTCGCGTATTCGATACGAGATTACGAGCGGTAACATAGGCGGTGCATTCGCCGTGAAGAATATGACTGGCGCCATCTATGTCGCGGGTGCGTTAGATTACGAGACGAGGAAAAGGGTAAGTATGTTACAACATTGACGGCGATGCGAGGAACGAAAGTCTTCGCTGTTGATCCTTTTAACCGTGTTCCCAACCCTCGTTTCGTTACTTTCGATAAAATCGTGGAAATTAAAACTTTCTATTCTAATATCATTAGAATTATTAATATTCCATTTCACTGATCCGTTATTGATTTAATAAATCTTTCTCGTCTCGAGATGAGTTTATGGTAA